CCATGTGAATGCAGTGCTTTGGAGGCTAGAATAGGGTGTTGGATCCTCTGAAGCTGGAGTTACAAGCAGTTCTAACCCATGTAGTGTGGCTACTGGGAACCAAACCTGGCTCATTTGCAAGAGTAGCATGTGCTCTTAACACTGACCCATCTCTCCAGCTCTGTAGTTTTGTTTACTTTTTAAGTTATTCCCTCGGCCGGGCGGTGGTGGCACACACCTTTAATCCCAGCACTCGGGAGGCAGAGCCAGGCGGATCTCTGTGAGTTTGAGGCCAGCCTGGGCTACAGAGCGAGATCCAGGACAGGCACCAAAATTACACAGAGAAACCCTGTCTTGAAAAACAAAAAACAAGTTACACCCCCCCCCCCCCCCCCCCGTGTGTGTGTGTGTGTGTGTGTGTGTGTGTGTGTGTGTGTGTGTGTGTGCGCGCGCGCGCGCGCGCGCATATAGGCATAGGATTCCCTGAAACTGGCTGAGATACCTGTGTACTAGGGACTGAACTAGGGTCCTCTGGTAGAGTACTACTTCAGCCATCTCTCTAGACCCTTGTTTTGTTTTATTGTTTGCTCTTTTGTTTTTTGAGACAGGGTTTCATGTAGCTCAGGCTTTACTGAACCTACAATGCAACCACGATGACACTGAATTTCTGATCCTCCTGCCCCCACCTTCCAGTAAGCACAGGCATTCACCACCACTCTAGGTTTATGTACAGCTCAAGATTTACCCATGGGCTTCATGTGTGCATGCCAGGCAAATATTCTACCTATTGAGCTATGTCTATTAGCCCAATTGGTTTGTTTTATGTTTTGAGATAGGACCATAGAGCCCAGTCTGGCCTCAAACTCCCGATATTCATGCTACCACCTCCCCGAAATGCATGGATCACCATGCCCATCTCCAAGCTACGGTTTTGTGGGTTAGGTTTATTATTATTTTATGCGTATTGGTGTTTTGCCTGCTTTTATGTCTGTGCACCATGTGCATGGCTAGTGCCTTCAGAGAGCTGAATAGGGATCGGATCCCCTGGAATTCATTAGAGATGGTTGTGAGGCATCATGTAGGTGCTGGGGACTAAATCCAAGTCCTCAAGAACAGCCTGTGCTAACCTCTGAGCCATTTCTGTAGCCCTCCACATCACCGTTTTAAAAGTCAGACATGCAGCTATACACAAGAAAATAGTAATTCTGCCTGCCCCGGAGAAGGCTCAAAGGACTGCAGGTCAGAAAGCTACATATACGTTGTTTTATTTAATTATTATCAGAACTATATGTGGTAGGTTCTAATGCATCATTCCCATTTTACATGTGAGAAAAAACAGTTGAGTCACCTAAGGTGAAACACAGGAGTTATAGCCAGAATTTGAACTTAGTCTTGGGCTGAGCATGGTGGTATACTCTTAATCCCAGCACTTGGGAGGCAGAAGCAGGTGGGCCTCTGATGAGTTCAAAGCCAGCCTAGTTTAGTTCCAGGTCAGCCAAGGCTATATAGTAAGACCTTGCCTCAAAACACAAAACAAGTAAAATTCTGGTCTTATCCCTACTGCCACATTGCCTTAAGACCACTCTGGGACTGAACAGGTGAAGTCTGTGGAACCATAGTCACTGTGTGTTCAAACAAACAGCCGGGCGGTGGTGGCGCACGCCTTTAATCCCAGCATTTGTGAGGCTGAGACAGGCAGATCTCTGTGAGTTCGAGGCCAGCTGGGTCTACAGAGGGAGTTCCAGGGCAGCCAGGGCGGTTACACAGAGAAACCCTGTCTCAAAAACCAAACAACAAAATCACCAAACCAAATGAACACAAGGTTTTAGAACTTTAGATGAGCCGTTACAGAAAACAATCCCTTCACCATTTGCTTTTTACATGTGCAGGCTGGTCTCAAACTTGTGATCTTTCTGCCTCAGTCTCCAGAACAGCTAGGACTACAGCTGTCCACCACCACACCTGGCTAGCAGATTTACTTTGTACTGCTGCTCTTTTCTCAGATACAAGTAAAATCCAAAGAGTCTACAGCATCAGTGTAACTTAATTTCACACTCAATACAGCACTGACATTGCATTCAGAAGACACTAGAAAAAGCACACGACAGAAATTGTTACTGTTCGAAGAGAGCTACAGGCTTTTGACAGAAGAAATGAATGATTCCTCTCCTGGTTTTAACCTTGCATGATGCTTTAAATTCAAAATGGGTTAAGTGACTGATGCGGAACTGTTCAAAGTAATGAGAACTGTAAAAAGCGGTAGAAGTGAAACTCATACCAGACGCACAGCATACGTTTTCAAATTAGGCTGGCTGAGTTTCTTTTTGTTTTTGTTTGTTTTTCGAGACGGGGTTTCTCTGCGTAGCCAATGGCTGCACTGGATTTTGCCATCCAGACCACCTTAATGTGACTCGTGTGGCTTGTCCATTCTGATGCCTGTCAGACAGTAAAAACGAGACTCAACTGGGGAGTCTCCCTACTGCCAACTTTGTAGGACTGACTTACAACACTAAGGAAGGACTGCAGTGCCAATCGGCAGGGTCTGGCTGATTATAAAAACAAAAACTGCTATAGCGTCTACTCAGCCGCCGCAGGGATACCTCCTCTTCATGACAGTCACTTTCCCCAAGCAGGACAAACAAGCCCATCAAACAGCCACCCTACTACCCAGACCTGCCTGCCTTGGTGCTGGTACCAGCAGCGGCATCAAGAGAATGTAAAAACAGGTCTCAAGTTCCCTAGGAGATAAAGTGGCCTCAGTGATCTCCAAACACTGCTAGGACCCCAAGAAAACAGGAAGACCCAGTAAGGCAGGTGCAAGCCGTTTCTCAGCATTCGAGCCCAAGGCTTGCCCCTCTCGTGGCCCGGCCCGCCTCACCCGGAAGTGCTGGTCCCGGTACTCGCTGAGCTCCACGTAGGAGTCGCTGTGCAGCGCCTTCAGGAGGCCACCGGACATGGTGCAGAGACACGAACCACGACGCGGCCACGGCTGGAAACGACCAGGCGGCGGCAGCGGCGGCGGCGGCGGAAACGGAAGCGTGTGCGGCCTGCTGCTGTAAGCGGACGTGGTCGGGGCCAATCCTGGGGCGGCCGTGTCGTCATCATGCGGCGTCGGCGTGTCCGTCGTCCGGCGTGGCCGGTGGGAAGGCGAGTGCGGCGGGCCCCGGGTTCCGGGGAGCTCGGAGGACGATGGTTTTCCGGCGGTTGCTGGCTGCCCTGCTGCACAACCCGCAGCTGGTGGAGCGGCTTTCCGAGTCGCGGCCCATCCGGCGGGCGGCGCAACTCACGGCCTTCGCGCTGCTGCAGCTGCAACTGCGCGGCCACGACGCGGCCCGCCGTCTGCGAGCCCTCGCGGATCAGCCCCCGGGCTCCTTGGGTCGCCGCGTCGTGCGGTTCAAGGACACCTTCACCCAGGAACTCCGCCGCCGCCTCCGGGACCGTCCAGGACCACCCCCAGGTCATCAGAAGGGCCCGGGCGCCAACGCGTAAGCACAGACTGGACTCTCCCGGGCCGAAGTCACGTCCCCTCCTCCCTTCAGTGACCTACACCGACCCCAGTGTTCATGAGTTATCTCGGGCACGATGCACGGCTTCGAATCCTGACTCGGATTGTCAACATGCAGATGCCTAAGGTCAAGTGGACCTGTGCGTGCTGGTCCTGTGACTAGGCAGGACTCAGAGGGGAGTCTAGACCAGAACATAGCATGACTGAGAGCCATGGATAAACAACCAGAAAGAACGCCTGCCTTCTACAAGCGGGACTGAAGCTGAATAAATGCTGCTGCATCCGCACTGGTTCAGGAGAATACCAGGGAAGATGGTGGATGGAATGACAACCCTAAAGTTGCCAAAATCTGATTAAATATGTAAGCTGGTGATAAGTCTGTAGGATCTTGCTAATAATAGTTAACACGTTAAGCGTCTGTGTTGATATTTGCTGTTGCATTCTGTGTGGTTTATGACTTAAAACCCCATTCGTGTGAGGAAATGGAGGCCCAAAGTCTTGCAGTGAGGTGAGCCCTGGCATGGGACTCCCAGGTCTGTGTTCTTGATCAGTCCCTACTCTTTGCAGGATTTACCCTACTCAGGGGCTGCTTTTCCACCACTACTGAGCGCTAAAGCCTCTGATACGGTGGCACATGATGCTTGGTTTCCCCTTCTCTATTTTGAGGGTCTGTCTGGGGTACTCGCTATGGTAGCTAACTCAACTGTGATTAGGGAACCCATGCATGTAACCTGCCTTGTCATTGTGAGACTCCTAACTCAGTTTCTAGACCTCTATTTGAGCCCCTCAGTTAACCTTAGCATCTAGAAGGCTTGCAGCTATTGGAAAAGCTTTTAAACTGAGTACCAGATTCTGAGCCGTCTGTGTTCCCAGTTCCCACTGGGGCAGGCTGAGAAGGCCTCACAACAGCACTAAGAAGGGAGGACATCTGGGTTCTTCATTGTAGGAGCGTGATTTTTTTTTTTTCTTGGTGCCGGGGGTAGTTCCTACAGCCTTGAGCATGCTGAACAGGAACTCCACCACTGAGCTACATTACCCAGTCTTTGAGAGAATGGCTGGAAAAATCCCTCCACTGCCCTCAAAGGAGCAGAAGAGGCTAGGGAGGTATTTTCTAGAATGGCTTGTTTTGCTTATACCCAAACACTGAGTCCACAGACTCCAAGGTGCCATGAAATAAGACAGAACTACGGTTTCCTAGTTACAGACCCTTGTAGAAATGTGTTTATCAGACTAGGGGACCTGCGCTACAGGCTCCAGGGCTGACACTGACCTCAGGACCCTCCGATCTGTTGTAAGATTGGGTGGTAGGTTGACTGAGTGGAAGGGACTTCCTTAAGATTACAGTTTGTGTGTCACAGACCGGGGACTAGAGCTGAATGGGAGCCACCTGCTGTCCCTACTTCACACTGCCTTTGTTTAGAAAGCCAGATTGGAAATCAAAAGATTGTCATGGTAGCAAGAAGTCAGGCATTGTGGGAGGTGGGAGAGGCCACTCGGGGATGTCATCAGCAGTTCATTGTCTTTGATAAGCAGGTGCTACTCTGTATTTGAAACATGACACAGCTATTGGAAGTGACAGCATGGAGAGAGACATGTGCCAGTGGGTATGCTAGGTTTCTTTGGGGACCTTGGCATTGGGACCGTGACTGGTCAGGTCTTTGGTGTCTAAGGGAAAGGAATGTGGGCTCACCTGGAGGAACACCCGCGGCTGTGCCCGGGAGAGACAGCAGGGGGAGTCCTGTTGCAGTGTCCCAGCCCAGCAGCCCGTGTAGAAGGTCGCGTGGCACCGTTCTATGGCTGGCTCCTGAGCCGTGGCTCCTGTGTCACAGCAGGCCTCCCCTCCAGCTCTATGACATGAAGACTGAGGTGGTTCCTCCAAGCCCGGCTGAGCAGAGAGGACAGGGCTGGAGGGTCCTCCAGGGTCAAGTGGGGAAACAAGAGGGTCTCATTCTTGAGAGGAAAACTGCACTTCTCCAGAGCATGCCTGTTGGTCCCGGGAGTTACCACAAAGAGTCGGCAGAGCTGTGGCCCACCAGCCATTTGGCAGGCTGGTTGTCTGCTGAAGTCGTTCAAGGCTTGGCACAGGACCCAGTCCTCAGCGCCACCCATGTCCACCACCTCCACAGGCGATCCCAGGCCGGAGAGGTGTAGGAGGTGCCGGGGAGGCATGTAAGTGTGAGCGAAGAGAAGTGTGTAGCGGGTGGTCGTGCCTGGCAGGACAGGCGCGTGGACTATGTGCTCCAAGTATTTCAGGCCAGGTACCAAACCTCCCTGATGCAGGCAGCCAAAGACGAGAGCCCCTAGAGCATTGAAGAGGACCAGGGTCCCCTTCCAGGGTATAGGGTGGGTTTGTGGACTGCAAAGCAGGACTAGCGGGACTATGAGGGGAATCAGGAATCTGGCCTCTTGGTGGCTGAAGGCAGATAGCAGGAGCAGGGGTGTGAAGTAGAGGAGGAGGAGATAAGACTTGGAGCTAGACCATGCACCCAGCACCCCCAAGAAGCCCATCTGCGGGAGCACACGGAGGCAGCTGTGGAGATGCTGCCATGCAGCCTGAAGGGCCTGAGCATGCAGTACCCCAAAGAGCAGGAAGCCATTGACCGCCAGGTGAGTGAGCCGTGCATGCGTGCCGTGCCTTGCAAGGTTTTGGGGATCCAGGTTGTAGGACAAGAAGTTGACAGGTGTGAGGACAAGGCTACCGGATGTCGAGAGGCTGGAGAAGTACCAGCTGTCCGTAGTGATAAACAGCATTGCAGCAAGAGCAGCCCCTGGCAGGAGCACCAGGGCCTCCTGGATCAGGGCCTTGACGCCAGGTTCCAAGGCCCTGTGAATGCCCCAGAGAGAGAGGGGAGCCAGAGTAAAGGCTAGAAAGGTTGGCCGATTGAAGAAGCCAGCCGCCACGATAGCGCCAAGAAGGCAGCTGTGCCACCATGGACCTGGGGTAGGCTTCTTTGATTTGGGACTCCATGCCACATAAGGGGACACCAGCACCAGCAGCCAGGTGAAGAGCAGTCCCTCGATGGTGTTGGAGAAGGTCCTTGTGTAGAAAACCAGGGTGACGTAGGACCCCGACAGCAGGCACATGGCATTCCAGCGATCTGCCCCCCACAGTGGGGCCAGATAGTACACAGCCCAGTCCAGGGCAAAGGAGAGGATAGTGAGGAGGAGTCGGGGCCCCACCAGCAGCATGTAGCCACTCACCAGACCAGGCCAGAGCCCCAGCTCTTCCCAGAGCCTGAGCAACCAGAAGGTAGAGCCAGAGGTCAACAGTGGGAAGACCACGGTGCGGCAGGAGCTGCTGGGGTAAAACTCCCAGGGCCGTGAAGCCTGCACACCCAGGATGTCCTCTGCAGAGAGAGAGGCGGGGGTGAGCCAGTTCCAAGCTTAGGCTTGTGCTGGGAAGCGTTCTGGCCTGGCACCAGGATTGCACGGCCCCCTAGTGGACAACCCCTGGGACTGCACAGGGTGGGTTTTACTCATGCTTGGGTAAAGCTACTTCGTGGGAGTCTCGGGTGGCCTGTCCTCTCCTCCTAGCCCTTTAACAGCAGAGAGCCTTCACCTGCGTGCAGAGAAGACAGGCAGAGACACACAGCGGGAAAAGGGTTTTATGTGTCCCAGCTGGTTTAAGGACGAAGGGGCTGCCGGCGACAGTGTGGATGACCTCTGGAAACACTTAGGGTTCCATAAGTGAAGTGAATAAAATTCTGCCGACAGGAATGAGCTTGGAAGCCAGGTGGCATGTGCCTGGAATTCCAGTGCGTGAGAGGCAGAGGCAGGAGGATCAAAAGTTTAAGGTTATTAGTGAGTTTGTGACTAGCCTCTGCCATGTGAGAGAGGAGACTCATCTGAAAAATACAGGAAAGTAGCCTGAACTTTCCAACTCACGGTTCAAATCTACCTGTTGAGCCCTGTGGCAGAGTTAGGTCCCCCATGCCATGATTCTTGTTCTCAAGCCGAGTGTGCTAGTGCACACCTGTAACATTTGGGGGCTGAGTCAGGACTGCTACAAGTTTGAGGCCTTCCTGGACTACACAGTGAGTTTGCGGCCAGCCTTAGCTGTCTAGACAGATGTTATCTCAAAAGGGCAAGAAAAACAAGCCAAGCCAAGTGTCTTTGAACTTTCTCCTTTAGTCTCTTAGCTGGGCACATGGCCGGATATAAAGACTTTCTCAGCTGTTTCTTTAGCTCACGTGGGCATGTGATACATTCTGACCAGTGGGATAGAAGTGTCGAACAGGGTCAGGTGTGTGTGGTGACTCCCAGAAGCCTTACTAGGAACAGTGCCGTGAGTTTTAAGGGCAAGCCTGAGCTACAGTGTAAGGCCCTGTCTCAAAAAACAACAACAAAAACCTGCCTGCCCATTGTGCACAAAATCCTGGACTCAATCCCAAGTACAGCGTAAACCAGGCATGGTGGCATGATCACAGCACTCTAGAAGTGGGAGCCAGAGAATCAGGGGTTCATGGTCATAGGCAGTTCAAAGCCAGCCTGGGCTGCAGGAGACCTTGTGTAGGAGGACCTTTGTTGAGTTTGAGGCCATAGTGAGCTCCAGTACAGCCAGGGCTTCATAGACCATGTCTTAAAAAAGAAAAGAAGGGCTGGAGAGAGGACTTAGCAGTTAAGAGCACTGACTGCCCTTCCAGAGGACCTGAGTTCAAATCCCAGCACCCACATGGTGGCTCACAGCCATCTGTAATGAGCTCTGATGCCCTCTTCTGGCCTACAGGCATACATGCAGACAGAGCACTCATACCTAAAATAAAATAAAAAAATACATAAAGAAGAAAAAAAGAAAAGAAAAAGCATTTGTGTGTAACTACTAAACATGGTCTTAAGGGAGGAGACCCTTCCTCCTGAGCCTACACGAACAGCTTTACAACTTTCCCAAGTCAGGCAAGCTTCCCTAGCCACTGGGAGAGCCCAGCTCTGAAGTCAGTCCGCTGACAAGTCCAGCAGAACCATCATTCTGAAGGACTTGTTGGCCCAAGCAGGAAAACATGGAAGAGGCTCGTATTTCATAACCATTCTCCAGAAGGTGAGGAAAATGCCCATTCCCCACTTCCAGTTCTAATCCCAGAGAGGCTGCAACTCTGCCTGTTCATTCATCCCCACGTGCGTGTCCTTCCCCACCACATAGGGACCGATGCCCCAATCACATTAGCAGGACATGGGGGTTTTACCTGCCATGACCTCGGGGGACTGGAAGAACTCATCTGGGTGTATGTAGCCAGTCTGGGGAAGGAGACACCACAAGACTCGAAGCAGGCCGAGGCTAACCCAGATCACCCTGGCTGCCATCTTCACATCAGATTGTCAAACACAGGGCTGACAGCCTGGAATGACTTCACGGCTGTCACGGGTGCCACTCTGGAGATCTACATCTGCTGAGAATGACATTCGGTAGTTACTGTAACGGAGACTATACCACAATCTGAAGACGTCAACGTAAAAATGATAATGATAAGATGTGATTAGTACACATCTGTAACCCCAGCATGGGAGAGGTTGACAGGTTGACACAGAAGGATTTCAAATTCCAGGTCAGCCTGGGATACATGGGAAATACTGTCTCAAACAAAACAAAATGGAAAAACGAAGTCAGACATGGTAGTGCACCCAGTAATCCCAGCACTCAGGCAGACGTTGAAAGCTCAGGTGAGAAACCAGAACAAAAACCACATTACAAAGAAAATGAATGTTAGGGATGGTTAGAAGTACTTGTTCCTGGGGGGGGGGGGGGCCCAGATTGGGTTCTCAGCACTCACATGGTAGCTTATAATCACCTATAACTCCAGTCTCAGAGGGTCCAACGACCTCTTTTTGGTTGTTTTTGGTTTTGTTTTGTGTTTTTCAAGACAGGGTTTCTCTGTGTAGCCCTGACTGTCCTGGAACTCACTCTGTAGACCAGGCTGGCCTCGAACTCACAGAGATCCACCTGCCTCTGCCTCCTGAGTGCTGGGATTAAAGGCAGGCACCACCACCACTCAGTTTCAACAACTTCTGCCCTCCACCATGGGCATGCACATGGTACACATGCAGGCAAAACATTCATACACATAAAATAATAAAATATATAAATTTTTAAGAAAATGAAAATTAGGGCCTGGAGAGATGGTTCAGAGGTTAAGAGCACCGGCAGCTCTTCCAGAGGCCCTGTGTTCAATTCCCAGCAACCATATGGCGGCTCACAATCATCTGTAATGAAATCTGGTGCCCTCTCGTGGCGTTCAGACATACACGCAGGCAGAACACTGCATCCATAATAAATAAATTTTAAAAAGAAAATGAAAGGGTTAAAATGGCAAGGTTGGTAAACTGAGGAAGATGAATAAGAGGGCTTGTATGAGACAGACCAGGTAGGAAGGGCAAGGCTCTACCCAGCAGGCTCTGGAAGGATCCCAGAAAGTGCCACCCCCAGGAAGAACCCCACCTCCAGGAGCAGGTACAAAACATCACTGTCCTTTCCCTAGTAAATTCTAAGCTTTTGGGATAGTTAACTTTACATATGTATATTCTGCAAGAACCCTTGCCTGTTCCATAGTCAGCTTCTCAACTTTATGGCTTGTTGTACCTGTATACGTATTCCTTTAATTGTGTCAGACTGAATTGTGGGAAAGGATGGTTTCTAAGAAAATCTCCACCTCTTCCAGGAAGCAGTCCCCAAGACAGCCTCAGAGATGGACAATGGGAGGAGCCACGGTATATAAAGACTTGCAAGTCTCAGCACTGGAGGCCGCGCTTTGCTGTGGATTCCGGGCTGGGTCTGCCTTCCACTCGAGAGTACACCTCCGTTCTTCCTTCTCGCCCGCTGAAGTAAACCCTGACTGCTCCAGCTCTGGGCCCCCGTATGAGTTCTTCAGAACTGAGGCTGCCGATGTTGGGATTAGAGGGCATTTGGGAGGGGGGCATCTCTCCATACCCACAATCCAAGTGTACTGGGTCGTTTTGTGTGTCAACGTGACCCAAGCTGGAGTCATCAGAGAGGAGGGAGCCTCGGGGCTGAGGAAATGTCTCCTTGAGAGCCAGCTGTAAGGCATTTTCTCATTTAGTCATCAGTGGGGGAGGACCCAGCCCTCATCCCTGGACCATTGGTCCTGGGTGGGATGAGTGGGTCAGGGAAAACAGGCCAGTAAGCAGCACCCCTCCACGGCCTCTGCGTCAGCTCCTGCCTCCGGGATCCTGCCCTGTTTGAGTTCCTGTCCCAACTTCCTTCAGTGATGAACAGTGATATGAAGGTGTAAACCAAATAAACCTTTTCCTTCCCAACTTGCTTTTTGATCATGATTTTTATCACAGAAATAGAAACCCTAATTAAGACATCAAGCCAACAGAGGAATCGGGGAAAGACTAGATTTGTCTTCTTCCTCCTCCTCCTTTTTTTTTTTTTTTTTTTTTTTGAGACAGGGTCTCCCTGTATAGCCAGCCCTGGCTGTGCTGAAACTCACTCTGTAGACCAGGCTGGCCTCGAACTCACAGAGATGCCTCTGATTCTGCCTCCCAAGTGGAATTAAAGGAATTAAAGGAATGTTGAAACACTCTTCAGATCTCCAACTCCATTCGGCTTTGTTGACTGCAACACACTCTTTCTCTTGGGCTGGCTCCACTCCCTGTTAACAGCTCTCCTCATCAGGTATCCCACGACTCTGGCATCTCTGACATCTTGGGTTCTCCAAGGCAGTCCAGGCTTCGACTTCACAGCTTCATGAAATGGCCTCTCTAGGCCTCCATTCAGGGACAACCCTGACACATGCCTGGCCTCAGTGGCTTTCCTTAGGCGTGGAGAGAAATTCCACAGTCTGTTTCTTCTATCCTTAACTCTAAAGCCAGAATAATATGGCCGAAGCTGCCAAGTTCTGCTGCTTACTGGGGCTGGAACATGGCCCCCTCGTTCAATTACATCTTCACCAGCTCTGTGTCGTTTTTGGCTGTCATGGAACTTGCTCTGTAGACCAGGCTGGCCTCAAACTCAGAGATCTGCCTGCCTCTGCCTTCCAAGTGCTGGGATTTGTGCACCCCCACACTGGGCTCTAAGCTTTTTTAGTGCCCTTTCACAAGAGAAGAGCAGGAGAAAGAGGAAGAGGAGGACCACGGACAACCAGAGGCTTCAATCTCAACAAGTCAGAAAATAGCCTGCAAGTTTCCACGCCTCTGTCTATTGTAACTGGAAGGATGAGACAGCTGGAGACTAGCGCCCAAACCTTGTCAAACTGAATCCCCAGCCTTGAGGGGGCCTGCTGTGAACATCTGAGGGTCTGCTGTGAACATCTGAGGGTCTGCTGTGAACATCTGAGGGTCTACTGTGAACATCATCTGAGGGTCTGCTGTGAACATCTGAGGGTCTACTGTGAACATCTGAGGGTCTACTGTGAACATCTGAGGGTCTACTGTGAACATCTGAGGGTCTACTGTGAACATCTGGGGGTCTACTGTGAACATCTGAGGGTCTACTGTGAACATCTGGGGGTCTACTGTGAACATCTGAGGGTCTGCTGTGAACATCTGAGGGTCTACTGTGAACATCTGAGGGTCTACTGTGAACATCTGAGGGTCTGCTGTGAACATCATCTGAGGGTCTACTGTGAACATCATCGGGGGGTCTACTGTGAACATCATCTGAGGGTCTACTGTGAACATCTGAGGGTCTACTGTGAACATCTGAGGGGGCCTGCTGTGAATGTGATGAACATCAACTGTAGAGGAATGGGATCCCAAACATTGGAAACTGAGGGAAATGAAAGACAGAGATGGTCGTGAGCTGCCTTTGCTGGTACTTTCCTCTGATTATACCGGCTTTGGGATTTTTTTTTTTTTTTGAGACAGGGTCTCACTATGCATCCCTGGCTGTCCTGAAACTTGCTGTGTGGTTCCATCTGGCTACACACCTCCGCTCTGGTGATGGTGTCTCTTCACAGCAAGGAAACCTTAAGACAGGTAGGGTCTTGATATGTAATTCAGGCTGGCCTGGCCTTGAACTCATAGTCTTCCTGCCTTGTCCTCTGGAGTGCTGGGTTATAGTCATTATTATATTAGTCAGGGTTCTCTGGAGTCACAGAACTTATAGAATGAATCTCTCTCTCTCTCTCTCTCTCTCTCTCTCTCTCTCTCTATATATATATATATATATATATATATATATATATATGTGTGTGTGTGTGTGTGTGTGTGTGTGTGTGTGTGTGTGTGTGTGTGTGTGTATGTGTGGACGTATGCTGCAAGCCGCAAGAAAATGTAATGGACTCCAGCTACTATCACAAAAACTACTACTTGGAAAGGTCAAGGACTTTTCCAAAGGTCAAGCCATGGCTTAAGAAGTCTTGGTGATATTTTAGCTTTTGTGTATATATTAGCTGGTTCCTACAATGGTTTTCTTGTATGCTATGCTTGCTTCCAAGAACTCCTAACAGTGTATTTATCTAAAATACCTATCAAGCATCTCCTGAACTAAGGTAACACCCTTATGGAAACACGCCTGTCTCCTCGGTCAGGCAGCTAGCTTTATTTCTTGTGCAATTTAAGGTGAGAACCTCCTTTCTTTTCTTTTTTTTTTTTTTTTTTTAGTTTTTTCGAGACAGGGTTTCTCTGTGCAGCTTTGCGCCTTTCCTGGATCTCGCTCTCTAGACCAGGCTGGCCTCGAACTCACAAAGATCCGCCTGCCTCTGCCTCCCAAGTGCTGGGATTAAAGGCGTGCGCCACCACCGCCCGGCGAGAACCTCCTTTCTTATACAGCCTTACTAACAGTATAGCCTCCTAACTTCTTACCTAACCACTTCTAGGAATGTAGACTGAGCACATAGCTCCCCCTTTTGATATACCAACCAATATTAGCTCTCAGTTGACCTCCTCCTTTTACCACTTCCTTTTTGGGTTGTAAAAGAAAGCCTGACGGCCACTGTCTGAGGACAGTTCTTACTGCCTTTATGACCCTGTAGGAATTCAAGCCTGGGGACCTGGCCGGAGCGGGAGGAGTGCTATCGCTTGGGTTTACAACGGAATACCTCAGAGACTTGGGGAGAACTGAGAGGGAAAAGGAGACTTAGAGGAGGATTTTGGCGAGAAAACTTGAGGACCAGACGGAGGGGAGGAAAGAGAATGGAAGAACTAGATGGGTAAGAACTGGTGAGGAATGGACTAGATGGGAAGAACTAGATTGAAGGGCTAGAAGAGAGGACTAGAGGAATGAGATGGAAGATGAGGAAGAGCCAGATGGGGAAGAACAAGATGAGAGAGAAGGAGATGAGGAGAGGAGCTAAGATGGGAAAGAACTAGATGGATGAGAACCTAGATGAGGTAAAATTAAGATGAGAGAATTAAGATAGAACTTAGAGGAGACAGCAGATAAATGTGGAGAGAAATCAGGAAAGAAAGGAGCTAGACACGAGAGCAGAACAGAGGCTGTGTAGAGAGAGAACCATCACAGAATAATAGTGTATGGACTAAGGGGTTTCGTGTACATAGATTCATTTCATATCATCAAAGATTAGATTATCAGCTGGTTGCAGATTCTTCCTGGACCCTGGGAGAGGACTGTCAAGGGGCAGGACCCCCATAGTCTCCATTATATGTGTGTGTGTGTGTATATATATATATATATATATATATATATATACACACACACAAAACACACACACACACACACATAATTGGAATGACTTCCTGGCTGAGTCCAACAATGGCTAGCTGTGAACTGAAAGTTCAAAAACATATATATATATATATAATATATATATGCATATTATATATATAGGGGAATTTATTGGGATGACTTACAGGCTAAGTTCAACAATGGCTAGCTGTGAATGGAAAGTCTAAGAATCCAGTAGTTGCTCAGTCCCACGAGGCTGGGTGTCTCAGCTGGTCTTCTGTTTATGCTGGAATCCCGAAGAAGTCGGCTCCAATGCCAGTGAAGGAATGGATGTGCTGACAAGGTGAGGGCAAGCAGGAGAAGAGTGAACCCTTCCTTCTTCCATTGTCCTTACATAGGCTTCCAGCAGAGGGTGTGGCCTTCCAGCCTCAAAGTCCGGATCATAAATGTGCCCTCCATTTCTGGATTGTAGTTCATTTCAGATATAGTCAAGTTGACAACAAGAACAGCCACCACGGTCATTATGGCTTTTAAACCTACTCAGCCAAGAGAGCCCTTCCCCCAAATCCCACAGCCCATTCAGAGAACTCACCCTTAAGTTTCTGCCCCTCTGCAGGGCTTGGTAGCTCACACCTGTCATTCCAGGTACTTGGAAGGCTGAGGCAGGAGGATTGTATATTTGAAGCCAGCCTCGTCTACACAATAAGTTCTGGGTAACCCTGGGCAACTTATGAAGACCCTGTCTCCAACCAAATGGTTTTTTAAGGGCTTGGGGTGTAGCTTGATGAGAGGACACTTGCCTAGCAGGCACAAGACCCCAGGTTTAACCCCAGAACCGCAGAGTTCTGTTCTTCCAGCTCCACTGTCCCCAGATCTGCCCTACATCAGAGAACCACAATAGTGAATGTACCTTCAGACTCATTGTGAGGGACCTCATTAAAAGGGACTGGCTGGACATGTCTGGATCTGTAGGACAGGCCACTGGGAAGTCGGACTGGATGCAGTTCTGTGGCAGAGCTAAAGCTGAAGTTCACGGAGGGAACTGATGGCTCTGTCTTTGTCTTTGTTGTTGTTTTTAATTTTATGTGCATTGGTATTTTGCCGTGGGTGTCGGGTCCCCTGGAACTGGAGTTACAGACAGTTATGAGCTGCCATGTGGGTGCTGGGAATTGAACTCAGGTCCTCTGGAAGAACAGCCAGTGCTCTCAACTGCTGGGTCATCTTTCTATCCCCTCTTCTTAATAGGGAGACAAGGCCCTATTATGTAGCTCAAACTGTCGTTGAAGTCACTGTGTTGCCTAGGCTAGCCTTGAACTCCTGATCTTCCTGCCTCAGCCTTCTGAGTGTTGGAGTCAAGGCAGGCGTGCATCAGCTCTTGATGACTTTTAAACTTCTGTTGTTGATTCACATGCTCCAAATCTTTATCTCTCTAGGCTGTAGGTGGCAGGTCCATTCTGTCTCCCATACCCCTAACTATTAAAAAAAGAGCTGTCTCTGCTAAGCCCTGTTTAAGAAGATTTATTTTCATAATTTAATAATGTGCACATATGGATGTCTGTGCAGGGGCTGGCAGAGTCCAGAAGGGGGCGTTGGACCCTTGAGCTGGAGTTACAGGCAGTTATGAGCTGCCCAATGTGAGTGCTGGGAAGTAAACTCAGGTCCTCTGGAAGGGCAGCCAGTGAAGCAGACTGTGGAGGCAGAGGGCAGAGGCAGGAGGATCAGGAGTTCAAAGGCCAGGGCCAGCCTGGGTTACAGTGTCTCAAAAAAAAAAAAAAAAAAAAAAAAAAAAAACTGAACAAAACAAATACAAAGAATGAGGGTGAAACAAGATTTTCAAAGAAACAGAAACTCGAAGATCATCAAATGCAGACCTTTGGCCGGGCGGTGGTTACGCACACCTTTAATCCCAGCACTGGGGAGGCCGAGCCAGACGGATCTCTGTGAGTTCGAGGCCAGCCTGGTCTACAGAGTGAGATCCAGGAAAGGCTCCAAAACTACACAGAGAAACCCTGTCTCAAAAAACAAAAACAAGCCGGGCGGTAGTGACGCACGCCTTTAATCCCAGCACTCGGGAGGCAGAGCCAGGCGGATCTTTGTGAGTTCGAGGCCAGCCTGGTCTACAGAGCGAGATTCAGGAAAGGCGCAAAGCTACACAGAGAAACCCTGTCTCAAAAAAAACCCAAAAAAAAAAAAAAAAAAAAAAAAAACCAACCAACCAAACAAACAAGAAACAAAAAAGTAGACCTTTGGCTGATTCTAAAGGGTCTGTATCAGACAGATGGAAAAACAAATTTCAAACACATCTGAGACAGAAGCAAAATACAATGATGCTGGACAGTAGCTGAGAGACATCTGGGAAACAGAGGTCAAGTGAGGACCATCCCTTCCCTCTAGGACCATCCTTCCTGTTCCTGGTGTCAGGGGACTGTTCTGAAGGGACAGTTCACGGTCATCGGCAGCTGGCTGTGGGGACGGAGGCAGCTCTGACGGTTTGCCAGTGACTTTGTGATCTTTGAGCCCAAAGAAAGCACTGTAGTCTTGACTGTAATGGTGCCCGTGGAGGTCCGCTAAGTCCACCCTCTCCTGTAGGAGACAGGGAACGTGGCTCCCCCGGCTCTGTGGTATTCTAGGAGTTATTTCAGGAGATGCAGCCAAGAGCTTGGTCATCTCATGTAAGTGGCAGTCCCCCACATTCACCTCCTTTATAACTGAAGTACGTCGTTGCTGGTAAACAGTATCAGCAATGAGAACTCAGAGTCACGCTGTACTGCCAGGATCTGCCGCTGCATCTAAGGATCCTCTGCTGGTGGCAAGGTGGCTGAACCAGTTTCGCCATCCTGTGCAGACCAGACCTCGTGGAAAAGAGCCTGTGCCGGAGGCTGTCTCCACCCGGCTACCCCTTTTGTTGTTTTGTTTTGGCGGGGTCTCACTATACAGCCCTGACTGGCCTGGAACTCGCTCTGTAGACCAGGCTGGCCTCGAAACTCACAGAGGTCCTCCTGCCTCTGCCTCCCGAGTGCTGGGATTAAAGGCGTGTGCTACCTTGCCCAGCAAGACCATCTCCTTTTTAAAATAGCTTCATTGGGATGTAGTTAATATACCATACGAAATCACCCACGTAAAATGGCTTTTAGAATATTCACATAGGTATAACCACAATGGGTAAGCTGTCAGCTTGGCCCAAGCTAGAGTCATCGGGGAGAAAGGAGCCTCCGTTGAGGAAATGCCTCCCTGAGATCCAGCTGTAAGGCATTTTCCCAATTAGTGATCAATGGGGGAGGGCCCAGCCCATGGTGGGTGGTGCCATCCCTGGGCTGGTGGTCCTGGGTTCTATAAGAAAGCAGTTTGAGCAAGCCATGTGAAACAAGTCAGTAAATAGCACCCCTCCATGGCCTCTATCAGCCCCTGCCTCTAGGTTCTGGCCCTGCTTGAGTTCCTGTTTTGACTTCCTTTGGTAATGAACAGCAATGTGGAAATGTAAGATGAATAAACCCTTTCCTTCCCAATTTGGTTTTTGGTTATGGTGTTTCATCACAGCAATAGAAACCCTAACTAAGACACACAATTTTTAGCTTTGTTTTAACTTTACATATATTGGCGTTTTCCCGCATGTGTGTCTATGCACCATGAACATGTAATGCCCTTCGAGGCCAGACGAGGGCGTAGGATCTCCCTGAACCGGAGTTACAGACAATTGTGAGCTGCCATGTGGTTGCTGGGAATTACACCCAGGTCCTCTGGAAGAGCAGCCAGTGCTCTTAACTGCTGAGGCACCCCTCTATCCCCAAACCACGGTCTTAAAAATGATCTCTTTTATGTTTGTTTTAGAAGATGGTGTTTCCCGGGCCGGGCGGTGGTGGCGCACGCCTTTAATCCCAGCACTCGGGAGGCAGAGCCAGGCGGATCTCTGTGAGTTCGAGGCCAGCCTGGGCTACCAAGTGAGTCCCAGGAAAGGCGCAAAGCTACACAGAGAAACCCTGTCTCGAAAAACCAAAAAAAAAAAAAAAAAAAAAAAAAAAAAGAAGATGGTGTTTCCCTATACTGTCCAGGCTGGGCTTGCAACTCCTGCTTCAGCTCTCCAGCTAGCCGGGAATACAGGCACATGCCACCATGCCCCCTGCTCACTATTTCAGTTTATTCTCACATCGTTTAACCCTGTTATCATCCCCTCCCCCTTTAAAAACCATGTATGAGCCGGGCGGTGGTGGCGCACGCCTTTAATCCCAGCACTCGGGAGGCAGAGCCAGGCGGATCTCTGTGAGTTCGAGGCCAGCCTGGGCTACCAAGTGAGTTCCAGGAAAAGGCGCAAAGCTACACAGAGAAACCCTGTCTCGAAAAAAACCAAAAAAAAAAAAAAAAAAAACCATGTATGGGGGTTTTGCTTGCATGTGTCTATGCACCATGAGCATGCAGTGCCCATGGAGGCCAGAAAAGAGTGTGCACCATGTGCATGCATGCAGTGCCAGTGGAGGCTAGAAAAGAGCGCAGGATCTCCCGCAGCTGGAGTTAATGGAGAGCTGTGAGCCACCACCGGGTGTCACTGTACTTCGGCAGTTGTCTCCTCCTTTCTTTGCCCTGCTGGGCTGGGATTCCCCAAGGCCTATGATCTACTGGGATCCAACTTAGAGCCCCCAGGGTCCTCTGCAAGAGCAACAGACACAAGTGTCCTCAACCACTGAGCCCTCTCTGCAGCCGCGTTATTCCTTATAGAGAAACCACGGTCTTTTGGCCTGAGCTCCAACAGAACCGTTAAAGTGGTGAAACCAGGACTTGGGCCACATCTGGCTGACTCCACAGGCCCTGGCACTCAGCCTGCAGCTTTCTGGACTTCCCTTGAGCACAGCCAGCTCAACAGAGCCTCATCTTCCCCAAGCGAGTCAACGCGGGCTCCTTCCCTTCTTCACCCCTCACTCCGCCGTACCAATGTTGCTTTAATGATTCATCTAACGTGGTTCTTCATCCCACTGCCGCTGTCTGAATCCAGGTGTGCTATGTCCTTGTACACGTAGCCCGGCACTCCTCAGCCCTGGAGATGGCTATGCAGGGCTTTGGGTGGCTGAAGCCCTGCTGTGGGTCGCCTGGAGCTGGACTCAGCCTTCTCCTTCACTGCATGGCACACAGGCTTGTGTAAGGAGAAAGAGGTTGAGAGGAGTCGAAGCAGACACTGTCCACCTCTTTGCCCTCACTTTCTGCTGCCTCTCTCCTGGCAGTGCCCTCCTTCCAACTGCAGCTAGAGACCAGATCTCTATGGGACCCCTGTGGGAAGCTCAGGGGTTGGGCTCAGTCCACAGCCTAGATTGCTTCCTGGAGAGCTCTTTTAGGTGGAATTGGTGCTCCAGCCACACTATTTTTTTTTTTTTTACAGCTTCTCTACTGAGACATTTCGCAAAGCTTTTTTGCTTACTGCTGCTGCCGTTGCTCGTTATACTGATAACATGGAGCATAAAAGCAGCTGTGGCGTCGGCAGCTTGGGGTTCAAGTCCCTATCCTGTCACTTGCTGGTGGTAAAACAGCATTCAGTCTCAAAACCCCAATTTATATCTCGGCTGTGAATGAGTGCCTACCTTAGCATTGTGGAGAAAAGAAAAAAAGATAAAATAAGGCAGGGGTAACAAGCAGTTGGTTTCGGATCCGTTTTGTTTCAACTCTGTTAGCCGGCTTGCAAAGCTCCCGATGCGGAATCCTGCTTTTGCCAATCGCCTGGTCATTTCTTTGCCCTACTGGGCTGAGATTCCTCCGAGGTTAGGATCCTCTGGGCTTCAACCGAGTCCAGAGTCCAGTTCAGGTGGACCCACTGAGGACATCTGTCAAGAATAACAGGAGGTCCCCAGGAGGAGGTGGCCAGATGGGGGGCACTGACCACAGGTGCCAGAATCTCGAGACCCGGAGCACACCCCCAGCGGCTCCCCAGGTGGACACCAGGTTACAGAAGCGGGCTTGGTGTCTCCCGCAGACACCCTAGGGGCGGAGTCAACGCGGGGGCGGGGGGGGGGGCGCTGGCAAATCTCACCCAACCCGGGTTAGTCTGCTGGTTCACGCAACTGAACACAAAACACCTGCCCCGAGCTCGGGTCCAGATCCTGCGTCTCCCGTCTCCCGAAGCCCCCTGGCTGTGAGTCTCCCAGAGAGCAGGGGACATGCTGCGTTAAAGAGAGCGCTCCCGGGACGTGGAGATGAGACTGTGGGGCGTGAGAGTGGGCGCGATGATCAAGAAGATGGGGACTACCGGCGCGTCAAGGTGCGAGGCAGGCAGCAGGGAGAGACCATGTTGGTGGCAGGGGTACAGCAAGCGAGAACCACAGTGCCGGGCACTGGGTGGGGGTGGGTGGGGAGCGGGGGAGGAAGAGGTCACCATTTGTGGGACCGGAGAAGGGATGAAGCAAGAGACTGCCCGCCGAGTCAGAGACCTGGGTCCGCTTCCTGGTACCTGGTGTTTCTCTGACGCCCAATGTGTGTGCAGCACCGTACCGGCTCTGGGGGCTGCAATTGTGTGTGGCTCGGTTCAAGGAAAGTCCCTCCCTTCACACTGAATCTTCCTGACATAGCTGCTGGGTTCTTGCTAATGGGAGGGGCGGAGGTCCTTAGGATGGATCCTCCTGGATCCAGCGTTTGGAGGAATTTTTAACACCGTGGGAGAAGGGCCCCAGCGCGATCACCCAGTGCTCCTGTTCCTTCAAGGCTAAGAACTCGCTCAGTCTCCAGGATCTATCCATGTCAGGCACAGAAGGAGAATGACTCTCCTAAGTCCATGTTCCTGTTGGCTGACATTTCATTCACCCTCAACTTGACCCTGAGGCTGCACTGAGCTCTGCAGGGGGCTCTGCCTCTAAAGCCGCCTTCTTTAGGTTGCCAGAAGGGACGGTTTGTTCTTTGACATGGAGCACAACAGTCAGTCTGCGTTAAACACATCAGGAGAGTGGAAGAGAGCCAGGTGGCCCCATCGACCGGGCATACCATTTAACTATCCACACCCTCGCAGCTCCAGACCATAAAATGGGAACTCCACTTTGTACTAGGAAAATTCAAGGCCCTGACCATCTTGACAGTGCTTCTCAATGGTTTGAGGTAAAGGTGTCTGGAAGAGATGCGTGACATTTGAGGACAGGGGAAGG